TTACAGGAAGAGTTTCTTTAGGGCTTTGGTTTCATTGAGCTCGGCTGTGACAAAGCAAATTGATGGCAGTGATAGGCTAGTGATGTCACTGTGATGTCAGTGCTCCTGCTTACCCTGCACACACTTGCTAGTTTGGAACACTTTATGTTGAACTGTGATAGAGAAAACAAGACCATTCTGTATGCAGAAGCCGGTCATGGCTGTCACTGGAGATGACACAGGTAAGATCTTTTTAAAGAGGGGCTTCAATTCTGTAGGTTTTATTTTTTATTTTTGGAACTTTAGGAAGTATTTAGGGGCATCTGAGTATTTCAGAAAGTGTTACTTTCCTAGTCCCCTAGCAGTAAGAACATTTTTAAAGTATTCATCTACATCTTCAGCTCACTTTATTAAGGCATCTCGGGTGTAATTATTTCTTTGGTCAGTATTACACTGCTTACTTGTCCAAGCAGTAATCTTTCCTCTCTCTCTCTCTCTCTTTTTTCCCTTCCCCCCTCCCCCCATTCTGCTCTACTAAAATAAGCTATTACTTCATCTACAACCTGTTGCAAATTCAGTCTAGCTACAAGTTAAACATACACGCACGCTGTAAAAAAGAAAAAAAAAATGGAGCTTCCGATTTCATTTCCGTGTGCAAACGGAGCTCCAAACCCAGGAGGAAAATCCCCGCGTGCCGTGGATGTTTGTTGTGCCCACTTGTTTCTTTCCTCCCGCCTGTGAAATGGTCTGTTCCGCAGCTAATCGAGTTCAAAGGGCTGATGTCATTACATTTCCTGGAATCGCGTTTCAGCAGGGGAAGTGGAAAAGTTAAACTCCGAGAGCGAGCTGCACATTGACGTCAGCTCCGAGTCATGTTGTGATTTAGTCAGTTCCTTTCTGCTTCGTCAAGGGCTGCTGACAGATCCGGAGTTTGTTAACTAGCTCACCGCTGCCTCTCTCTCCGAGATCGCGCTCAGATCGAATAGCTTGTAAGCCTTATTTTAACCTTTCTGTCGAGGTAAGTAGAGGGGGGACCCTTTGTGGATCTGTAACACTTGCATGGACAGGACTAGGGGTTGCCTGGCCGACTCCCGGGGCCGGCCGAGCTTCCAGCCGGGGCTGTGCCTGCATGTGCCTGGGGAGCCCCGGACCACAGACAGGCTGGGGGGTTCCTTAACTCATCCTCCATGTAGGAGACCCGAGATTCAGAGTGCCCTCTAGTGCCCAGCCAGGGAAGCGCTTGTCTTTCAGCGGCGTCCTCCGCCTCTTGCCTTTAAGTGGTAACCAGTCATTTTTTACGTGGTTTGCATTTTCCGAGTTGCAGGTAGCGATTTTGAAAGTCCTAACGACCTTTGTGTGGTTGCAGTGTTGTTTACTCAGTGGTCTTGGTTGTAACCCAGTACCGAACTGGCAGTTGAATTCAGAAAGAATGGGTGGTTATAAACAGCTTCGCCCCAATTTAGCTCTTCGAAGTTGGTGGGTCTCAGCCCTCTTCCTGGAGAGAAGCGTTGTCAGGAGCTTGTAAAACCCGTATTAAATTGTTTTTTAAATGGCCTAGAGGAGCTGTTTTTTCTCTCAGAGAAGTTTTTGTGAAGTGATAGAGATGCTACAGATAGCAGAAGTTCGCAGATGACGAATTTATGATAAGTTAGAGGTGAACTTAAAATAATCTCAGACATGGCATGCCCTCTCATTCTGAGAACCAAAAGGCATTTTTGTGCATATGCTTGTTTTATGAAAATTATTGGCTTACAGCTTTAATTTCTATTCACCATTTTGTTTATCTTAAGTCTTTAAAAGAGAATCTTTACAAAAAGACAAAACGACTTTAAAATACTGTGTTTTTAACCATTGCTTGTAAACAAATGAACACTTTTTCCCATGTGAACAGCAGTTGCTTTTTTCTGCATTTATTTTTATGGACTGAACAGACCATCCTTGAAGCAGTTTTTTGCACAGTCGCTGTTACCAAGGTTGCTTATTTACGATTTGCCTTTTCCGAGCTAAAATTTTTAGAATGTGAAACTTTCAATTGCCAAATAACATACAGCATTTTTTCACAGTGCCTGATTGTGATTGCCTTTGAAAATCATTATTTTTAAAAGTCTGGCCGGCTCTCACAGAATCAGTACCGTTTGAAAAGATGAGTAACAAATTTGATTTCTCGTTTTTATTTGAAGAGCCAGGAAGAGTACAGAGTTTAAGGAACTTTTTCAAAGGTACAGTAAACTAGTTTCAGGAACCAGGCCTTTGGATCCTCAGTTCTGAGCCAACTGTGTGGGTTGGCAAATCAACTGGATTGATCTAAGTCAGTGGCTGGCAAACTTTTTGACCCTGACCTACATTTTATGTGATGACACAGTGGACCTGTGTGTGTGTGTACCATACATTTATATGAAACAGATTTTAACCACAATAAATACTGCATGTGATGTACTGATACTTCCTTTTCTATCTGTTCTGTTTTAAAAAATGCTGTTTTTGACCCATGAAATTAATTTTATGACCCACTAATGGTCTACAGCTTAATAGTTTGAAAAACTCCGATCTAAACCAAAATCAGGCCTCTAGCACTAATGACTAACTTGTCTGGAAAAGATTTTAGCAGCATTTACGTACAGAATCATAAAGTCAAATATACAGAGTAAATATCTGTGGTGTGTAAGTTTATATTGTTGATTCACTTGGGCATAATTTAAATTTTTATTAGAAATTTTTTTTTTATTCATAAGCTGATTATGCTAGGAGAAATTTCATATTTTTGAGACTCTGAATCTTAAGTTATATTCAGACTGGATTTCTGAATGGTTAAGAACAAACTTTCCAACTATCAAATTTGGAAAATAGCACCTTAGTTATTATTTGATGCATGAGAACAAGGATATACAGGCATTTTAAATTTCACACAGACTTTACAGCCACCCTGTGTGTATATATATGTATCATATATGCACATATATGTGTACGTATATATAAATATATATATGTATCACCTTTGTGATAGGAGGCTATTGGCAATGATTTTTGTTTGGAAATTTTTACATGAAAGAATGGTTCCCAGTTGGTTCTAGCAGCTTCTTGAGTTGGTAGCAGAGCAAGTTATAATCATGTTGGAAATAAATGACTTGTCCACTTTGTCTGAATAAAACTCAAAATCTGTAAGGAGAATGAAATTGAAAGTTGCTATTATGCTGTTTTCCTACCACTTTTGAACAATGTTTAACGAACCCATAATTCAGTATTATTGATTGCCTTTTGCCCTGCTTTATTTGCCTATATGAATATCTTGCCTAATAAAATAATTATGATGACACTTTTGCTTTTTTGTGAACTTTAAAAAGTCATTTAATGTTATAAAGGAACATAATACTGTCAAGGAAACTATCAGATTGTGAGTGTTACACAGGAAGCAGGAAATATAGGTTAAAGGATGAGGGTGGGCCTCACTGAAAAAAAGCATATTCGAATGCTGAGACAGAATAGCACCTGACATGCATTCTCAGTGACAGACGGCACCCCTTGTATGTACAAGTGAACACAGGTCAGGGTGGGTATGTGACATCCAACTTTACAAGTCTAGCAAAGGGGGAACAGGTTTGAGCCTTTGGACTCTCTGGTACTGTTCATACCATATGACATGGCTGCTCAAATTTCCCCTGACATTGATAAATTAATGCGAATGTGCCAGCAACAGGAATTACAGAAGCATGCCAAATGCTGCCTAGAAGATACATAAAATGTTAGCATCAACTTACGTAGTCAAAATGGATTTTTTCGTAGAACATTTGTTATTACTGCCATAGGACCATAGATCATATACCTGCCATTACATAGAACATGAAATTTCAGCATTCATAATTTCCCATCTGTAACAGAGGTTTGGACTCTTAAGATAATCACTGACTTAAGAAAGTCCCTTACCTGTAACTTACTTAGCGCGACTGTGGTAATCATTTCACAATGTATACAGATATCAGAGCATCACATTGTATACCTTGAATCTATACGGTTTTCCTTTGTCAATGATGCCTCAATAAAGCTGAAAAAAATTGAATGACTTAATTCGATGTGGTCTGTGTGTTATAGTAATTGTAAGAAATTTGGAAATGTTCAGGGCTTACTCATTTCTATGTAGGGTTTAATTTTCCTGGTGAAAATAGAGGAATAGAGAAGAGACATGATTAGGCAAGGTGGGCTGCCGGGTGTAGACAAGGAGGTCTGGCAGGGATGATGTGGTGGGAGAGAGAGAACCGTAAAAGTGGAGATGTCAGTCGCTTAATGGAGCTCGGGGAAGAAGCCCCCCACTGCTAAGTCTGACTTCCACGTTACCTTAGAAGGTCACTTAGGTGTATTTAGGATTAGAGACACGGAGTGAAATGACATTGGAAGGTAGGAACGCTCTCTATCAACATGTTTTTCTCTAGTCCATGTGTTCAGAATGGTAGCTGTCTCAATCAAGCAATAAGAAACCAAACAATCCAATAATAACATCCTTCGGGGGCTCTTGTTTCACGTTAGAAGCTGTCAGGATAGGCATTTGGCCAGGTTTCTCCCTTAGTCTTTGCTCCCCACTCTCACTTGTGGGGTCTTCAGTTTTATCAAGAGGATCTTCGCCTTCAGTCACTTTGAGGTTCTAATTTAAGTGATTATATGTATATTGAAAGGACCTTTCATGTTATCTTTTAATAATTTATTCTCTAGAGGTATATAACGTATATTATAAATTGTGAAAGTGTGTTAGCAACATAAGGAGTTAAGAGCCATATATTTTCATACCCCAGGTTTGCTAAGAGGGAAAGTCCTGGGGAAAATATATTTATGGGTGTTACATGCCTTTTTAACTAATATACAGTATAAGCATAATTTGGAACATTGTCTTTCAGAACTTAAGGAAGGGAAGAGGAAGGGAACTAACATTTTCTGAATGCCTACCTTGTGCCAGGCACTGTGCTAGACACTTTGACATACATTACAGGGTTTATTGTGAGTATTAAATGAGATAATGTATCCCCATTTTACAGATGAGGAAACTGAACTTGCCCCAAGTCACATGGCTGGTAAGTGGCAGAGCTGGACTAGAACCCAGACTCCAAATCCCATGCTTTTTCTGCTGTACCGTGTTTAAAGCTTGCAAAGAGAGGTATGAAGTTAATGACCAGAATTGAGAGTCCTAGGAATTTTCTTTCCCACAAAGTGTTTGATACTGAACTTCAAAAAAATTTTTTTCATGTCATGAGTTAGATGGTTGGAAACACATGACAGTGAAAACTCTTGTGCTTCTAAACTGCCACGTTGCAGTAGAACTTCTGCAAGTTGACCACCCAGAGGACCGTAACCAACTGGTCAGCACAAGGAACTCAGCCTCCTGTACTGATATGTACAGGGGGTGTAGGTCCGGTCTGTGAAAACTAGGTCAACTGGAGGCGGTCAGTGTTGGGAGGTGGTCAACTATGGAGGTTCTACTGTAGTTCTGTCGAAAGTCTATCTAAGGGAAGATTTAGGAAATAACACCCTTTTTCAAGAAAGATCACTGACTAAAGGCCCTTTAGGGCTTTTGATGTCTAAGTGTTAAAAGACTTAGCTGTAATAATACAAGTCTTTAAGAAGGACTGCTTATTTTAAACACTGCAAATGACAGTGGACTTATGGAAAACCCTAGGAAGTTCACAATTTACTTTGCAGTGCACATATAAACTCACGATTTAGCCTTTATGTGCCAAGCCTGTGTGCTAGATTCTAGGGAATACCAAGGTTAAAACGGTAACTGTCCCTGAATTGTCTTAAAGCTTTTGCTTTCCTGAGAATAAAATATCAGAATAAAAAATAAAACAGCTTTTTTCTTATTCTCTTTCTTCCATCATGATTTCAAGCCCCCACTGATGACTCATGGATTTTCAGACTATGAAAATGAAATTCTGGAATAAAAAAATAATTTGGACCCTTTTAGTAGTTAGATGGGACAGGAATTGGCCTTGATAAGTCATCAAAGAATGTGGGCTGGTGCTTTGAAATGTGATCCTTGGTATCTAATCTGCTGTAAATTACCCCTGAACCCATAATATGGGAAACTTGAAGCTCACTACGTTAAAAGTTTTTATAATTTGCTTCAAAAATAAAACTTTTTGACATTTAGATTTGCTCCAAACAAGAGATTCTCTTTGCCCATATCTGTTTAATTTACTTTACTAATAAGATTACGTTTGAGTACATGTAATTTACCCATTGAGCATTTGAAGGACTCCCATCTAGAATCTTTGGGTTATTAAAGAAATTTATACTCACTTATAAATAACTTACAATTCCTACTAACTTATACTAATACGTATTTCTTGTTTGAACTAGTGAGGTGTGTTCTTTGACTTTTGTTGAAGGACATAAAATGAATATATGATGCCTGAAAAATTGCCATAAAACCCAGTTTAACATCTCAGAACTAATATATCCAAATATATCATCCCCTTCCAAGTTATTTTTCAAGTGATCTTTTTATCTGAGCTACTGCCGAAAATGTTTTCAGAATGCTTCTTTTGGAGTTGCCATTATCCTCCAGGTTGCCAAATTCGGTCCTTCGAGGGTGGTTGTGGCTTTTAGAAACAGGCGAAAGTTGTTTAAAAACCATTTCTGGTAAATACATAGAAGGCCAGTGGAGGAACTGTCTTTTTCATCTGTATTGCCACCCACCCCCATCCCTCCGCTTAAAAACCAAAAAAGCTTTTTAAGAAAACTAGCTTTGGCATAGCATGTAAGCATTCTGCTCTAAGTTCTTATTACAGCAAGGAGCAAATGTGTACAAAACCAGAGGGTGCAAAGGACCCCTCTGTGCCCTTCTGTTTTATTGCACTTCTTTGTGGACACGTTTGGAAAGAACACCACCAGGCCAAGGTCCCCGGCCAGGCTGCCTGTGAAGGTCCACAGTGACGTGTAAATGTAAACTTCTCATTCCTCCCTGGCTGCTGTTCGAGTTCTAGAAAGTGGTAACCTGCAGCTGCTGTGTTGTCTCAGCCTTTACCATCCCATAACCTCCTCCCCTAGATGTGGGTAAAGAGAAAAAAGAGAAGAGATGTGGGTACAGAGTGTCACTCTTTGCTCCACTCTGTCTCCTCTGACAATTAAGGTTAGAGACGTCTCGAAAACCTTAACAGGTTAGTTTCTCACTGGTTTTAAAATGACCTTCATAAATATTTCAAATCTGTTAACATTTTCTATGATATGTATTGAGACACCTATGGAGATAGTCTTTTGAGTAAGCACCGAAAAAAAAAAAAAAAAAGAAAGAAAGAAAGGAAAAAGAAAAGAAAAAAAGAAATGTAGAGCTTTCCCCAAATTTATTAGTGGAGATTTTGCTGGTAATCACGAATCACAGTGACTCTCACCATTATTTTCTCAATGATATGTGGAAGGAAGAGGCATTACAGCTTTCGAAATGGTATTTTCATTAATTTCATGAAGACCTTTAAGTGTGTTTTCCTCACAGCTGTGTTTCTTATTCTTTCACCCAATTCCAGGGCCCTAGGGGAGGAAAAACCTCCTGGCATGTAGCCCAATAGAAGCACAGAGATCAGTTAATTTTTAACTTTTTAAAACTGCTTGACTGTCTTCAGTGATAATATCCCATTTAGGTAAAAACCGTCATTGTCTCCCATGGGTATAATTATATCAGCTCTTACTCAATGGGTATAATTGACATTTGATGGACATTTGATTCTGGCCAAGTTTTCTAGGATTAATAACCTTCAGAGTCTTTCTTGGATTTAACTGTGAGAGAGCATGCATTTTGTAGGATCTCATCAGAGAGTCAAATTAACTCTGGACCATACGTTCTCAAAGTTGAAGCGTTGGTGGCTGAAACATGTTTTGTCACGCAAATCCATCTGTCTTTTCTATGTTTATTGCAGCCGACAGACAAATTTTGTGTATAACTTAGGAAACTTTGAGAACTTACTTTTAGTATCCCTTCCAATACAGAAGCAATACTTCTGTACTGCTTCCCATACAGAAGCAAATATTAAATCTTTTAGTGGTATAGTTATACTGCACACAGAAAATATTTTTAATAAATGAATATTTAGAAATGTATGATTATCCCAGGAAACCTAAGAAAGACGACATCTTTCCCCCAGAGACACCTGTTTTAATTAGACTCCGCTGTGTTTCGTTTTTTCGTGTGTTTAACTGAAACCACGGTGAACTAGATTCCTCCCAGTGCCTTAGTCATTTTCTGGTAATAGACTTGCACTTAAAGACCTTCAGTAACCATTTCAGACATGATATAGCGGGTAGGAAAACCTCTTAAATGAAATATTCAGGGGGAGAAGATGTTATGCTTAATTAAAATTTTTGCAGTGGTGTATTAGAGCCTGCTCCCTCCAGCTTGCTAGAAGCAAGTGTTAAATTGTCAGCATCTTTGGGAGCAGATTGTTAAAATAATCATTGTTAAAAATTATAGACATATATATACACACATACATGTACACCTAAACACTTTAATTACATTGAAAACATCAGTCCTCAAAACTCACCATTTCTGATTATCTTATCTGTGCTCTTGCCGTTACATACAGTTGTTTGGTCTGTCTGGTAGGCTACTTAGTGGGTGCCTCTTTTCAGCTCTACATTCAGGGAGGTCACATTGGTAGCTTGAAATGACAAGTATTCACATCATGGAATCCTCAAACACTATAGATCAAGGCTTCCCCCTTCCGCCAAAGACCTGTTTCTTAAAGGCAGAGGGTGCCAAAACGATGTAAACATATTGAAAGCCATCTGGTTGGAAGTAAAATGGATCATTCCCACAGAGCGTAGGGATTGCAGGTAAAGTGGATGTGCGTAGCCGAGCCAGGTCCACTTGACTAGTACCCGTATATCCGATTCAACTTCCAAAAGTAATACAGAGATGACCTCTGGCAGGATGCGGATTCCTGTTTTTGGCATATCAAAAAAAAAAAATGCACTCCACTGATTTAAGGCTAAATGAACTTTCAGTTGAAAAGCCTGTGCTCTTTAGCCTCTGATAAAAACCTGTCTAAACACAACAAGCCATTTTCCTACCCTAAATGTGTAGGGCAGGCCAAATATCATTACTCCAAATGCTGAGGAAAATTTTTGATACTTAAGATGCCTATAGCGCTCAGAATAATCATCCTACCCAAGATCACCTCTTGTGACATGTATAAAGTATATTATTGCCAGGCCAGTTTTGTATAAAATGCCAAATCGTGAATTGTCTGGGTAAGCTTGTCACGTTTTGTTTCGCTGCAGCCGCCACTGGTGACATGCCAACTTACCAGATCCGAGCTCCCACTACTGCTTTGCCACAGGGCGTGGTGATGGCCGCCTCGCCGGGAAGTTTGCACAGCCCTCAGCAGCTCGCAGAAGAAGCAACACGCAAACGAGAGCTGAGGCTAATGAAAAACAGGTAAGGCACTTCCCGAGGAGTCAGCAGCCACTTCTAGGACACGTGATGTATCACTGTGGGCCTGGTGAAGGGTTATACTCTTCCTAAGTAAGCCATTGCTCCCAAGTTCAGTGTTACGTGGCACTTCCTGTCGGTTTGTGCTCTGCATCTGATGATAATTAGATTGTCTCCCCGGCCATTAAACCATTTCATCAGCAGAAAACTCACATCCCTCTGTGTCGTAAGGGAAAATGTCCAAAACATACGTTTAAGGCCAGGCACAGTGTAATTCTAGCCTATAATCCTAGCACTCTGGGTGGCCAAGGCAAGTGGATCAGCTGAGCTCAGGAGTTTGAGACCAGCTTGAGCAAAGCAAGACCTCGTCTCTACCAAAAACAGAAAAAAGAGCCAGGTGCTTGGTGGGTGCCTATAGTCCAAGCTACTTGGGAGGCTGAGACTTGAGGATCACTTGAGCCTAGGAGTTTGAGGTTGCTGTGAACTAATGACGCCATGGCACTCTACCCAAGGCAACTGAGTGAGACTCTGTCTCAGACAAAGAAACAAACCCCATACATTTATTTTTTAATAGTGATGGAAAGACTTTATCACAAATAATGATTTATGGCTGGACATGGTGGCTAATGCCTATAATCCTAGCACTCTGGGAGGCTGAGGTGGGTGGATTGCCTGAGCTCACAAGTTCAAGACCAACCTGAGCAAGAGTGAGACCCCTGTCTCTAAAAATAGCCAGGCATTGTGACAGGTGCCTGTAGTCCCAGCTACCTGAGAGGCTGATGCAAGAGAATCACTTGAGCCCAAGAGTTTGAGGTTGCTGTGAACTGTGATGCCATAGCACTCTACCAAGGGCAACAAAGTCAGACTCTGTCTCAGGAAAAAACAACAACAACAACAAAGGTTTATTTTGCATTTTGTATTTATAAAGTAGGTGATAAGTATAATGTTTTGGCTTCTTTATAAGCAATGTAAATTTGTGTGAGTTAAGCATTTTTAAGGTTTTTACATGTAGTTTCCATTTATTTATGCTATAACTTTGGCTTTTTCTTTATTATGCTGAAATACATATTCTGATCAATTCTAGGCAAGTGCAAATACAAAATAACAAAAAGAATTAAAATACCCATGGCTCTACCACTTAGCGATATCTACCATTATAACAATATACTCCATTCTGCTCTCAGTCTCTCTCACTTATTCTTTTCTTTCTTTCTTTTTCTTTTTTTCTTTTTAGACAAGGTCTTACTCTGCTGCCCAGGCTGGAGTGTGATGGTGCAGAGCCATCATAGCTCACTTCAACCTTGAACTCTTGGTTCCCATGGTCCTCCTGGCTCAGCCTCCTGAGTAGCTAAGACTACAGGCACACTCCACCACACCCAGCTAATTTTTTAATTGTTTGTAGAGATAGGGTCTGACTATGCTGCTCAGGCTAGTCTCAATCTTCTGGCCTCAAGCGATCTTCCTGTCTCAGTCTTCCAAGGTATTAGGATTACAGACATGAGCCGCTGTGCCCACCCTTATCATACTTAATCTCACTCTATATGAGGGTGATTTTATATTTTAAGCAATAATAGATTATAAAATGCTACTTTCCAAAATTTTTTATAATTTAAAGTTAAATCTTATTTAAGAAATAATGAAAACTAAACCGAAAAGTAATATATTTAACTTTGTATATTATTTCTTGGTTTAGTTTTCATTATGGGAAATGGTACAAATTAATCTAATTTTCTACATGGACAGAATTGTCTAAGAGTTTCCCAGTAATCTTATCACCTTATTCTGAAGTGTTTAATGTCTTCGTTGTAAGAAAACAAAATGTTTCTGTTAGGAATCATGTGCTCTCCTGTGATCAGAACTACATGGTGTTAGTACCCCAGTTAATCTAGAAATTGCAACCATTGATTCCCTCAGATTCAGTGCTGAGTTCATCACTGTCCTTTGTAATTGAATGGACCAGAAGTAACTATACTCATTTGATGAATAGCCTTTTAAATGTCATAGTTTGCTATTATATAGGAATCCTTAAGTTGGCTACCATTCCTAAGCTTACCACTAATCACAGAACATTGGAGCCTTATACACTAGAGAACTCAACAGATAGCCAGATAAGATCATTAAGATATACACACCCTTTTTTCTGTGCTTGTTTTTTTGAGATAGAGTCTCACTTTGTCACCCTTGGTAGAGTGCTGTGATGTCATAGTTCATGGCAACCTCAAACTCTTGGGCACAAGCGATCCTATTGCCTCAGTCTCCTAAGTAGCTGGGACTACAGTCCCTGCCACAACGCCTGGCTATTTTTAGAGATGGGTTCTGGCTCTTGCTCAGGCTGGTCTGGAACCTGTGAGCTCAGGCCATCCACCTGCCTTGGCCTCCCAGAGTGCAAGATAGACATATCTTTATTGGTGTTTGTTCCTGGTTTACTATGTTGTGCTGTATTAATACTTTTTATTGTCCACATTTTACACAGCTTTTTTTTTTTGTTTTTTTTTTTTTGAGATGGAGCCTCAAGCTGTCCCCCTGGGTAGAGTGCTGTGGCATCACAGCTCACAGTAAACTCCAACTCCTGGGCTTAAGCAATTCTCTTGCCCCTGCCTCCCAAGTAGCTGGGACCACAGGCACCCACCACAACGCCCAGCTATTTTTTGGTTGCAGCCGTCATTGTTGTTTGGCAGGACCAGGCTGGATTTGAACCCGCCACCTTAGGTGCATGTGGCTGGTGCCTTAGCCACTTGAGCCATAGGTACCGAGCCCCCACATTTTACTCAGAAACCCAGATAGGTCTGAATCAGTGGGGGTCCCACAGCATGAGACTTGCTATGAAAGATCCCTAACTTTCCTCTGATGGAAGAATATGGATACTTGAAGTGGCACTGAAATCTCAGGAGCAATGAATATAATTACATCTCTAGGCATAGAACCTGCATTGTGCAGTTCAGTTTAGAAATACAAGGTTCAGTAATAATGCCAACTGTAAAATTGTTCATTGATGTCTTATTTTACCCAAAGAAAATAAAAGGAAGAACTAGAAGGTAGTCTATTTTCCTTTTGTCATTACTTTAAAATTTCAAAATTTTTTCAATAGGAATACTAAAATAAAATAGATAAAATATTAGATAGTGGGTTTCCTTAAATGTGCCACATATGAAATCTTCCAGAGGGGGGAACTATCACTAAATTTTGGGATCGGCGTAGTGGCTTACACCTATAATCCTAGCATTTTGGGAGGCCAAGGTAGGAGGATCATTTGAGGCCAGATTTCAGACTAATCTGAGTGCCATAGCGAGATAAAAGATGCAAAAATTAGCCTGGTGGTACCCATCTGTAGCCCCAGCTACTCGGGAGGCTGAGGCAGGAGGATCACTTGAGCCCAGGAGTTTGAGGTTGCTGTGCCCTATGGTAACAACATTGCACTGTGTCCTAGGCAACAGAGCAAGACCCTGTCTTAAAAAAAAAACCAACATAAAATTTTGGATTTTTAAAAATAACTTAACAGCAACTATTCGATAGCATTTGTGTTTGGGCTGCAAATACTCAAGGGAAATAGAGGTTTAAACTTGTAGATAGTTTTTTGACCTTATATAACTGATCCAGAGGTATATGCAGCCAGAGCCAAGACTCAGAAGTGCCATGGAGGACACAGGCTCCTTCTCCCTGCTCACTCATCTTTAGCTTGTACTGTTTGTTCTCCTGGTCACAATATGGCTGCTGCTGCTCCAGGCATTGCATCAGGCAGAAAGAAGGGAGAGGACTAGAGCCAAAAATTGGGGCTAGCTGAGCATGGCCCTTCGGAAAACATTTCCTGAAAGGTGACCCTAGCAGCTCTCACCTCCATTTCATTGGCTGGAAACATTCTCTAGTCCCTAGCTATAAGGGATTCTGGTACGGGTATATTTTAGCTTTCCAGATCTCAATTTCAGAGCAAGATGAGAAAAGCAGATGATAAAAAGCTATTAGGTTGCACTGTATCTGTTTAGCAGGTGTTAAGTGTTTTGTTTCTATTGTTGCTTCAACTCTTAATAACTTTCACATGAAAATTGTTCTGGTCCTTATCCCCACTTCACAGATGAGCAACTGAGGTTCAGAGAGGTCAAGTAATAAGGTGGTTGAAAGCACATAGCCCAGACAGGACAGAACCAGGATGTGCAATCAGGCAGTCTTTATTCCAGAGGTGGCCACCACACTAACACCAGGGTCACCTCACTGCAACCTGCAGGCTTAACTTCATGGAAAGTATGTAGGTTTTAATGGACAGAAGAGTCTCTCAGTCTCTCTTCTTATTCTTTGGCTGGCATCTGCAGTAGATATTTAATTATATTTCTGCCAAGCCAACAACAATTTTTATTCCCTCACACCCTTGCCAGCTTTTCCTTTTTGCCATGTGTTTCCGGTCCACGCTGAAGATACATCCAGATAGATGTAAGGCCTGAAAACTGAGCTAACTATTAATAGAAGAAACAGGTGTTTTCCCCAGCTGAGAAGTACTGAGGAATGTACTGATGTGATCATCAAAGCTTTGGGCTTGGAACATTTTGACTCCGACAACACGTATCCACACGTGCACACACGTACCAATGTAACATACAAGGTGTGGATATTTATAATAACTCTCTTGGTAAATAGAAATTTAAAAAATTAAATACCCCACAGCATTGCCATTAGGTATGTGAAGATTTCATTTAATGGTACCTGGTTTTGTAAAATGGCTACTTCCTTCTAGATCTAGAGTTTAATGTAATGTTTGAATCATGACAATTTTGATATTCATAAATGAATTCTAGTTTCCTTTGTGGAAAAAAGGAGCTGAAGTATGTTCCTAAACTTGCGATTTTGTTAGGTTGGAACTTATGCTGAAATTTCCCCTGTGCATCACTTAGGTTAAATTAATTTCTATATTGTCACATTTCAGTTCACTTTTACATCTTTTTTTTTTTTTCTCTTTTGCTAACCAGTTGAGAAGTCTGAGAACTTTGTGAGTTCACAGGGTGAGTCCATTGTTCTTGGCTAGGAAGTAGGGGGTCTTTTCCTGCAGTTTATCGGCATTTCAAGGCTTCTTTTCTGCTGACTTTTGCTTCCCATAGAGAAAACACAAATATCCAGTTAGTTGCGAGTCAACTATCCTAAAAAATGAAGCAATGGGTCAAATCTGTTGTAGTCACACACTAGTTCGGGGTATCAGAAATGTACATCACAGTAATTGGTGTTTAGACATTAAACATTATTTTTGTTAAAATATATTTGAATGACTATATCCATTTCAATATAGGTTTCTTTGATATGAAGGCTGGTGTACCTCATAGGCAGTTATTTTGGAACTGAATACTTCAAAATAAGGCTGTTATTGGAGGTATCTTCTACAGAGAGTTAAGTGAAATAGTTGCCATTCCCTCCCACCCTGAAAAAAAAAAGAGAGAAAATGTTGGCTCCATTTATATGGTTTTTGGTGGGGTTATGCATGAAAATTACTCATCTCCTCTGTATATTTGTGTTGTTGCTTTGGTTGCTGGTCTGTTTTTTCCTTTGGGCTTACAGTGCTTTACAGTTCCATTTATTGGACATTAAACACATGCGATTAGAGAACAGTCTTGAAATACACTCCTGAGTTATTCCATAGCTTCCTTTTCTTAATTTTAATCATGGTGGTCTCATACTTGTGATTTTAAATCGTCTGAATTATTGAGTGGTGTATTATGTAACCCCCTTCTTTCCTTTTTTAATTTTCAGAGACAGTGTCCATTTCATTTTGGTTTATAAAAATGTACATTTTTGTTTATTGGTACAATTTGTCCATGTTGTGTTTTCTAGCCAATAAACTGTTTCTTGCAGTTGTGATTGATCTTGTTTTACTGAGACTTGGTCTTGAAGAGTAAAAAATCTCCAGTGCTGGACATTTAAGTTTCTTGAGGGTTAATTCTTATAATCATTTTTTATCACATCATATTAACTCATTGTGATGGAATATGTGGCTCTTGGCAGACAGAAATAATTAAGAGAATTAAAAAGGATCTATAAATGTTTTCATAGAAATTCCATTCCATTTGGGGAACGTGGTCCTATTGTCGTAGCTTACTGAAAACTGTTCTGGTTATTGTTACCATGGAATGTGTGTCCTAAGAAAACCCATTTCAATGAATCTAGGGCGAACTGTGCTCTCAAGTTGTTCTTGTTGTCTTACAGGGATCTTACAAAAAGGCACGTACCTGGTTACATCTGTTGTGTGGCTTTGCACAAATCTCACTAGGATTGATTGGCTGTTGAGTTTGGGGGGCAGAAGTTCATTGAGCCACTCTAGATTGTGCTGGGAGGTTGTTCCTGCAGTCATTTGCCTTGTGTTGGTTCCAGGGAAGCTGCCCGGGAGTGTCGCAGGAAGAAGAAAGAATATGTCAAATGTCTTGAAAATCGTGTGGCTGTGCTTGAAAACCAAAACAAGACTCTCATTGAGGAACTCAAGGCCCTCAAAGATCTTTATTGCCATAAAGCAGAGTAACTGTCTTTGACTTGGACCTTGTTTACTATGAACTCTAATCAAGGCAGGAGATGCAGCAATTTCTACTAATAATTGCCATGTGGACTTGTGGAAGGGACACTTGTGACCCTTAAGAATCCAGTTTGGCTTAGTGTTTGAAATTGAATTGAGAATGTGGTTCCAAGATTTGGAATGCCAACCATGATTGTATTGACCAAGCTTATTTCAATCTGTTTTGTCAATAGCATGCAAAAAAAAAAAAAAAAAAATGTCTTGTTTTGCCCTTTTGCTTCTGCTTTTTGCAGGGAAGCTGCTAAAGAATGTCGACGTCGAAAGAAAGAATATGTAAAATGTCTGGAGAGTCGAGTTGCAGTGCTGGAAGTCCAGAACAAGAAGCTTATAGAGGAACTTGAAACCTTGAAAGACATTTGCTCTCCCAAAACAGATTAGTAGAAATATTTAACTATGAACTGATTTTGAAGGCAATACAATATATAGCCGGCAAGAATTATGGCTTTTTTTTTTCTTTCCTTTGTATCATTCATCTATTCTCTAATCTCTAACATTCCTAAAGTGCTTCACTGTACGTAGTTAAATCTTAGGTATGACTTCAATTTTTTAAAAAGAGACAAACTGTAAAAAAAAAATGTATGTAACAAACTCTTAAAATGCAATATTTGTAAGACTTGTTCCAATGCCACATATTTGCAGTTCCCAATCTCTGTGTCATGAATAGTGTCCTAGGCAATAAAATTTTTTGCAGGTCTTTAAAAAGAAATAATTTTAGGAAAGGATGATCAAAAATAATGCATCCAGCAGGACAATAAAAGTGAAACCCAAAACATACCTCAGGAAAGAATTAAAAGAAAGCGTATATCTAATGATAGACCTAGATGAGAATAATAGCCTAGAAGCGAACTTATGCATTTGCAGATTTTTATATCAGTTGCTTTATAAAGAAAACATTGTATTGCTGTCCTTGAATGCCATAGTTGAAGAGAGTTTCTAATAGAACCATGTTGGTTGCACTTTGTAGTATTTGGTGCTCATTTAAATATGAACATTTACTATGGTTTTTTAAACCTATTGTGTAATATAAGAGATCTTGCAGAAGTTCTTTTTTTTAGAGACAGAGTCTTACTTTGTCACCCTCAGTAGAGTGCTGTGACGTCACAGCTCACAGCAGCCTCAAACTCTGGGGCTTAAGCGATCTCTTGTCTCAGCCTCCCAATTAGCTGGGACTTCAGGTGCCCATCATGACACCTAGCGATTTCTTGGTTGTAGTTGTCAGTTGTTTGGCAGGCCTGGGCTGTATTCTAACCCAGCAGCTCTGGTGTATGTGGCTGGCACCCTAGACTCTGAGGTACAGGTGCTGAGCCTTGCAGAAGTTCTTACTATCAGTCTGATATTACCTAGTGAAAGTGACAAGATATGTTTATATCTGGAATGAGCAGAAAGCCTGTTAAGATTGCATTGCATACCTTCAAGAGTACAAGCTGATTTCTGCACTGTGTCTCCATCCTGGCACATGCTCTTGTGCCATCTCAGGATGGCCCCAGAGTTTCCTAAGGAGAGCACAGCAATGATTAGAAATTCTGCCTTTGCAGGGCAGCGTCCATAGCTCAGTGGGCACTGGCCACATGCACTGAGACAGGCAGGTTCAAACCTGGCCCCAGGCCAGATAAAACAAAAATGACAACTAAAACCAAAAAAAAAAAAAAAAAAAAGTAGCTGGGTGTTGTGAGGTCACCTGTAGTCCCAGCTACTTGGGAGGTTGAGGCAAGAGAATCGTTTAAGCCCAAGAGTTTGAGGTTGCCGTGAGCTATGACACTACAGCACTCTACCCAGGGCAACAGCTTGAGACTCTGTCTCAAAAAAAGAAAGAAAGAAATTCAACCTTTGCAAACACTAGGCCTTTCTGTAGATGGTCTAGAGGTCTCCTGCTGGGGGCCTCTACTCTGAGGTTTAGCTAACAACCGCAGGAATTTTAAAGTAAAAACAAAAACAATCCCAAATTTTATTTTTCATCTCAGAACAGCTTGAAGTCCATGTTAGGTCAAATAGTCTCAGGTCAGCACATTCAGATGAAGTTCATTACAACTGAGATAGCAACGTCATTACTGGCAGCTGCATTTCATCGTTTTATATAAGCAGCAACTTCAAAGTACAATAAGCCCAAAACCCTACCCAGATTCCCTGTTACCTCTCAGTCACAAACATTTCTTGAATGCATACTGTGTGCTAAACGCGGCTATATTTGCTACTGGAGCTTCTGCTCGGTTAAGGATGCCCTCTCCTCTGTCCCAGCCCCATGTCACAGCTGGAACTGCCCAGTGTGGGTAGGGAGGTACCAGAGCAGGAGGGGGTTCCCACAGCTTCCTGCTGCTGCTTCCCTGGGTCACTGAAATTCTTTCCCTGGTCTGTGTCTCTCAGAAATCAAGGTGTGTCATTTGTGACTTTCTTTAAAAATATTTATTCTTCTTTCAGAGTCTGAGCTCTGAATTTCTTTTATCTCAATTTGGGTCTTTTCTTCTACAGAGAATGAGGAATGAAGACAGGAAGAGAAAGAGGGATGGAAACCCTCGGGTTTCAGCTGAAGGGCAACAGTGCTCCTCATTCATTCATTCATTCATTCAGAGAGTGTGAATCAGCTGTGCGCTTGGAGTGGCAGACACAAGAGAGGGAGATAGATACTAGATAGAAGGAGCGGACGAGATGTAAAAAGCTAGAGGCAGTATGTGAATTCCAGAACTCCAGAAAGGCGCAGACAGGGATTAAAGAAGAAACCTCACGTAGGAAGTAGATTTCGAACTGGGCCTCCAAGTAACTGATGGTGCCAGGCAGGAGGGCGTTTAGGCAGGGACCATGGAGCACACACGCTGCTCCAGAGAGCTGGTGCCTGGGGAATGGAAGGAGGTTGAGTTAGCACTCACAGCAAGAGTGAGTTTCATTTAAAAAGGAGGAGGAGGCTCGGCGCCTGTGGCTCAAGTGGCTAAGGCGCCAGCCACATACACCTAAGGTGGCGGGTTCGAATCC